CAGCGTACGGAGTTTCCCAAAAGAACAATGATATCGGGCAGGCGTATTTTTTTCTCCCCTCCCCCTCCGCCCTTTCCTTCTTTCGCCCACGCACCTACCGTAAGGGTTACTATTTCTACTCTCCCCAATCTTCCACTGTCATAAAATCAAAGATGGCGGCTACCACAATATCACAAACACGAACAAGGTTTCGCCCACCCAAAATACGCCTGCACTGCAGGCTACATCTTGACACAAATGATCAAATTTTGAATACCGCCCAGAGTGCTTAGCGATCCCAGTGCGCACACCGCCTGCGTTTAGCCAAAATGAGACGAAATATGGTAACATATTGGACGACGGCAGACTTTGCAAATCGAGAGTGGGGAGGGAGGGTTGGATGTAAACAGCATTATAAACACGTTCTTTTTTCCTACTGCAACATTTCAAGGGTTTTTTGCAATGAAAACATCTTAAGAAAAAAAAATGGTCAAGTACTGAATAAGCCTCCAATGAGACTGTTGCTAAAAAATCCTGGAGGAACCTTTTAGCAAATCCAGACACATATGTTTGTCGATATATTTAGTTTAGTATATACACACTCAGTGATCTTGGTGATTTAAACAATCTGATTGGTTCGCTATCTCGGACTATTGAACAATATGCACCTCCTAACGAGTGGATAATGTGTGAGCTCGGTGTTTTTCCCATTTTTTTTAGAGAACGATCTTTTGAAAGTCGACAAAATCCTACGGTTGACTTTTTTAAGGCAAGAAAAGACTTGGCGTTTTTCCATTTACTGTAGCCGAGTTTTGTGCTCGATGGATTGTTTACAACTCCCGTTTATTCGCGTAGAAGAAGCCTTTTCCTGAACTCAGCGTTTCCTAACAAGAAAATTTGGCCCAAAAATCGAAGTTTATTTATGACAAACAAATTTGAAAGCAAATGTTTGCAAAAATTCTACGTGCAAGTAAATAGCAAAAAGAATGGTACAGGAAGACGACGTCGTACCTCGAGCAACCGAGCCGCCATTTTTGTCAGCACTTCATGCCAAGAACGACACAACAAACCCTTTTGGCTATAAACTTAGCGAGTCATCAGAAAACAACAAAGCTCTACTTTTTTGTCAGGTAAGGAAACAATTCAAACATTTAAAGGTTCCATTTAAGCCATCACGCTGCTGTTTGCGAATTGATAAACTTGTGAATTGCCATGTTTGAAAATTCTGCAAAGATCCGTCAATCAAATCGTACTTTTTAACGGTTTCTCTGATTTTGTTGAGATCACTTCGTGTGTATATACTAAAACAATTATTCTTTTCAATCTCGGTGAATAGTGGGTTTAGGAATATTTACCGCGCCGCCTCGCGCCTCGGTAAATATTAGCCTTTATTCACCTCAGTAGTATAGGAGGCATGTTTTACGCCTCTTTTTTGCACAGGAATCTCATTAGCGTGCACAGGAATACATTAACTAGGTGACGTCATAGGCTATTGTCTTGATCTCATGAAAAAAATGCTGTGGTATCTCATTAACTTGCGGTGGAATCTCATTAAGTATATCCAGTTTGACGGGTTTATCATTTTTATTGTTGTCCCTCCTCCTCCTCCTCATTTCTATTGTTTTCTCACCACCACCCCGACATTTCTATTGTTTTCTCTCTACCACCACCACCACATTTTTATTGTTTTCCCTCCACCACCACCACCACCACCACTACCACCACCGCCACATTTCTATAGTTTTCCCTCCACCACCACCGCCACATTTCTATTGTTTTCCCTCCACCACCACCACCACCACCACTGCCACATTTCAATTGTTTTCTCTCCACCACCAGAAATGTGGCGGTGGTGATGGTGGTGGTGGTGGTGTTGGAGGGAAAACAATAAAAATGTGGCGGTGGTGGTGGAGGGAAAACAATAGAAATGTGGCGGTGGTGGCGGTGGAGAGAAAACAATAGAAATGTAGCGGTGGTGGTGGTGGTGAGAAAACAATAGAAATGAGGAGGAGGAGGAGGGAAAACAATAAAAATGATAAACCCGTCAAACTGGATATACTTAATGAGATTCCACCGCAAGTTAATGAGATGCCACAGCCTTTTATTCGTGAGATCAAGACAGTAGCCTATGACGTCACCTAGTTAATGTATTCCTGCGCACGCTAATAAGATTCCTACGCAAAAAAAGGCGTAAAACATGCCTCCTATACTACTCACCTCGATTTCAAAGAATAATTGTTAAATCTACTAAAATAGTGGATAATGTTTTTTGCGCGCTCTGATTGGCTACTCAAAGTCGGGCTGTCCAGTGCTATACACTGATTCACCTCTAGCTCCTCCGAGCAAGTGACGCCAACTTGCTTAAGTTTCGGTTTCCCGGTTTGCTGCCGTCGAAACAAAGAAATTTCACAAATAATCAAACAAGCTGTTCCCGAAATACACGAAGGTGACGAAATTTGGTTTGGAACCAACCCACCTGATACAAGAAAAGTCAAACGAAATACTAAAGGTAACGAAATACTTTTGAAGAAAAAAATCGCAAAT